GAAGGGAAGGGAAGGGAAGGGAAGGGAAGGGAAGGGAAGGAAGGAAAGAAAGATCAATAGTAATATCAATAGCACTTAAGACTTCTACATCGCTTCACAGTGCTTTCCAGCCCTCTCTGGGCAGTTTACAGAGTCAGCCTCTTGCAACCCCCAAAATCTGGCTCCTCCTTTTACCAACCTCAGAAGGAGGTCTGAGTCATCCTTGAGCCAATCAGGATCAAACTGCTGGCAGTCGGCAAAGTTAGCCTGCAGTACCGCTTTCTAACCACTGTGCCACCCCAGCTCTATGATTCAGTTGCCAAGCATCCAAATTTTGACCACACAACTGCGGAGACACCCCAACGGTTGCTGAGTGTGAAAAGGGGCCATCAGTCATTCTTTTTCAGTGCCGTCGTAATGTCGCAGGTCGAGGACTACCCCTAAAGAGGAGAAAAGTCTTGGCTGTTGTCCTCCCAGACTAGTCCTGCTAGCTCAACCATTTGGCTGGTTTCTATCAAGGATTCTCTTCTTCTCCCTCCTGATAGGTTGCTATTTACCAAGCAATCCAGAAGCCATTGTTCTGGATATTGACTACAAGTCGGGAACGCCTATGCAAAGGTATGGCCTGGCATCCTTTTCCAGCCTGTTCCACTTCGGTTAAGAAGAAAAAAAGGAATTATTGCTGGCATTGACCTGTTCTTCTTCCTTCTAGTGCTGCCAAAGCCCCTTATTTGGCCAAGTTCAAGGTGAAAAGATGTGGAGTGAGTGAACTTGAAAAAGAAGGTTAGTGTAATGGCTCTTCTTCTTCTTCTTCCTCTTCCTCTTCCTCCTCCTCCTCCTTCTTCCTCCTCCTCTTCCCCTTCCCCTTCTTTTCTTCTTCTCCTTGTCCACCTCCTCTCCTTCTCCTTTGCTTCTTCGTCTCCCCCTCCTCCTCCTCTCCCTCTCCTCCTCCTTCTCCTTTTTCCCCTCCCCTCCCCCTTCCCTCCTTCTCCTCCTCCTCCTCCTCTTCTCCTCCTCCTCCTCCTCTTCTTCTTTTCCTTCTCCTCTTCTTCTCCTTCTCTTTTTCTTTTCCTCCTCTTCTCCTCCTCCTCCTCCTCCTCCTCCTGGATCTTCAAAGGTAACACATTTGACATTCATGTGAAAAGAGAGAAATTGTTCCGCCACGTATCCTCTTCTTGATCTTCTTTTTCTTCATTATCATCATCATTGTCATCTTCTCTTCTTCTCCATCAACATATCAATTTGAGTTGGGAACCTTCTCTTCCTCCTCCTCCTCCTCCTCCTCCTCCTCCTCCTCCTCCTCTGGCAATGTTGACGTGGAGACATCCAACCTCAAAAACCCCTTGCGCTCTTCCACCCTTGGGACCACATCACAGAAAAGGCAGAGAATTAACTGCTGGTTAGAGTCCCCTAAAGGACATCTCTTGAGTATTATCGCTTAGAACGTAACTACATTTTTTAAAAAAAAAAACTCTTCCAGGTCTGCGTTGCCGTTCAGATTCCATCGACGAAAGCGGAGAAGACGGGAGGGAGAGCAAGAAGATTTGCTGGCAGGCCGCCATCTTTAAAGTGGGCGACGACTGCAGGCAGGTGAGGAAGCTGCTGGGTTGTCTTCTTAAGTCACCTGTGGATGTGGACGGTTTTTCAGCAATCACTGTTGCGTTGAGGGGTCCCCGGTGCTTTCTGAGCTGGGTTGTTTTTTTTGCAGACGTTTCATGACCCAACTAGGTAACATCATCAGTGCTAGAAGGCGACGGGGCTTATGGAGATGAGGAGGAGGAATTTCCAGCGTTTATTTCCAGTTTCTGGCAAAAACACCCATTGGATAAAATTAATCCACTTAATGACCACCAGCAAAAAAAAAAGGGGGGGTTGAGAAATCAAGCCCAGTTCCATGGTGACCCATTTAACCACCTCCAAGGCTTAACAACCCTAATTCCAGGCTCCATTATGGTCATTAGTCGAGCGCTCTCTAATGCGTCTTTTAACACTAAAAAGACCTCATGTGGTAACATCATCAGTTCTAGAAGGGAGTGGGATTGATGGAGAGGAAGAGGAGGAGAAGTGTGGGGTCCTCTCTGAGCTTGCCTGTTGCCTTGCAGACATTTCATTACCCAACTAGGTAACATCATCAGTGCTAGTAAGGAGAGCTGTCAGTTTGTATTCTGGTGGTTTTCCTATCATTGTTGGTGAGGACGGTCTTAATAGATTCTTTGGTCGGGCTGTTTATCCTTGGCTCTTTGGCAGTTTCTTGACTGAGGTGCTGTTTTCTTGATCGTTGGTCTGATGTTAAACCTTGGAGTTCATCTAGTCTTTGTATTCCTTTCTGGGCTGGGGGAATAGTCCCTTTTGAACAGTCTACAGAAGAGACCCCACCACCTCTCCACCAGCAATCAGCACCCAGACCGACATAGATTAACCCCAAGGTTAACATCAGACCAACGATTAAGTAAGCAAGACCCCAATCAAGAAACTGCCAAAGAACTGACTGCAAACCACACTCCTTACTAGCACTGATGATGTTACCTAGCTTGGGTCATGAAACGTCTGCAAGAAAGCAACCAAGTTCAGAGACCTCCAAGGACCCCACAGTCATTATTCCTCCTCCTCCTCCTCCTCCTCCTCCTCCTCCTCCTCCTCCTCCTCTTCTCTGCACACCCTGTTCCCTTTAGCACCGATGATGTTACTGTCAACGTTTCAGAAAACCTCAACTACTTTACCTAGCTTGGGTCATGAAACGTCTGCAAGAAAGCAACCAAGTTCAGAGACCTCCAAGGACCCCGCAGTCATTCCTCCTCCTCCTCCTCCTCCTCCTCCTCCTCCTCCTCCTCCTCCTCCTCCTCCTCCTCCTCCTCCTCCTCCTCGCACACCCCATTCCCTTTAGCACTGATGATGTTACTGTCAGCGTTCCAGAAAACCTCAACTAGTTTACTTAGCTTGGGTCACGAAACGTCTGCAAGAAAACAAGCTCAGACAGCACCAAGGACCCCTCACGTCAACCCCGAGTTTCAGATATCCTCCTTTATTCATGACTGTTGCGGGCAATATTTGAACACCCCCCTTCAATCCTTGTTTCTTTTGACGCTGGGCAGGACATGTTGGCCTTGCAGATCATCGATCTGTTCAAGAACATCTTTCAGCTGGTGGGCCTCGACCTCTACGTCTTCCCCTACAGGGTGGTGGCTACCGCTCCTGGGGTGAGTATCTGGAAGAATGCTTTGATTCAGATGCAGATTGGGATTCACAGAGTTGGAAGGGACCTTGTAGGGTCATCTAGCGCAGCCCTCCCCGCCCAAGCAGGAGACCCTACAACCAATTCTGACAGAGAGCAAGTCTTTTATCGATCCGCACAGTATCATTTTGTTTTGTGCGTGGATATGCAACGGACAGACTGAGCCAATTTTAACTTTAAACAACATGGACTCCAAGTATCTATCATCAATACTGTAAATATCATATTTAAAGTCCACCAGGTGGTCCCTGGCCCACTGGTGGCCCACCGGTGGTGGTTCCTGGCCTACCAAGTGGGCCAGGGACCACCGGAGAGGATAAGGGAGAGACATGGTCTCCTCGGGAGGAGAGGGCCTTGATCCTCTTCATGGGCTGCAGGTGTGACAGCTGAATAAGAGGACAGACCTGCATACTGGCAAACGCTGGAGACAAAGCGTGTTTTATTTTGGTCTGAAGTTATCTTGGTTGGCGTCCTTCCAACAGACTCTGCCTTGTTATCTCCTTGAATTTGGTAAATACTTCTCCTGTTCCGTCGTGTAAATTTCATCATTGTAGTTTGTTTGGTTTTTCATTTCACCTCTATCTGCTCATTAAGTTCGGACTGTATTGCTTTCTTTTGAAGACTATTTTTGAGTACGTTTTTTTCTCCAACTGAGAATTATTAAAACAGTGGGGCCAAGTTGGAGGCATTAAAGGGACATTTATTTACATTTTGGATCTTGTTACGTTTGTGTTACACTCTGGGTCATCCCAGTGATCTGTTACACGTTTGGCAGAATTTGCTCTTGGGAGCTCCTCCCATTCCTTCATTTCTCTCCTTTCTCTCAGTGTGGCGTCATCGAATGCATCCCAGATTGTACTTCCCGAGATCAGCTGGGCAGGCAGACCGACTTTGGGATGTACGATTACTTTACTAGGCAGTACGGTGATGAATCAACCCTGGCCTTCCAGAAGGTATTTGGGGTGACTCTTAGCTATAGAAGGGAATATTTGTAAGCTCGGGGTTGAACTGCAAGGTCTTTGATGCTCTCTGAGCTTGGTGGTTTTCTTGTAAACATTTCATGACCCCACTAGGTAACTTCATCAGTGCTAGAAGGGAGGGAGGTTTGCAGAGAAGGGGCGGGGAGGAGAAGGGGAGGAGAGAAGGACAACTGTGGGGTTCTTGGTGGTCTCTGAGCTTGGCTGTTTTCCTGCAGACGTTTCATGACCCTACTAGGCAACTTTCATCAGTGTTAGAAAAGAAGGGGGAGGAGGAGAAGGAGGGGAGAGGAGAAAGTAGGACTGTGTGGGTTTTGGTGCTCTCTGAGTTTGACTTGCAGGCATTTCATGACCCTACTAGGTAACATCATCTGTGCTACAAGGGAATGGGGATCGTGGAGAAGGGGAGGAGAGGAGAATTTGGAGAGGAGGAGGGGCGGAGGAGAAGGGGAAAAGAAGGAAAAGGGGAGAGGAGGAAAAGGAAAAGGGGGAAGGAGAACTGTGATGTCCTTGGGTGCTCTCTGAGCTTGGCTGTTTTCTTGCAGACATTTCATGACCCAACTAAGCAACATCATCACTGCTAGAAGGGAGGGGGGGAATTGTCTCTCAGCGTGTGTGTCTTTCTGAACTCTCCCTAATGGTCCCTTGAGTTGACTTTATTGATAAGACCCTAATGAAGAACTAGGGGGGGGAAATGCCATCCTCTTCTTCATTGGCTGGACAGTAATTGGCAGGTTGAGCATTTCCTTGACAGCAAATAGTCCAGTGATGCCAAGCAAAAATTCCGTATTGTTAGGAATAAAGCCAACCAAGTGACCCCATTAGATTCCTTTCTTCCTCTCCTGAAAATTAAATCGTTTGTCTTCAGTCCTCCCCGTCCTTCCCTTAGGAAAATGCTCCTGTTTTAGATGTTCAGCTTTGGCCAACTGAATGCCCGTGGATACAGACTCTTCCTTCTTTCTCAATATTGCCAACGTTGTCGCACCCTTGCAGGCTCGCTACAACTTCATCCGCAGCATGGCTGCGTACAGTCTTCTGCTGTTCCTCTTGCAAATTAAAGACAGGCATAATGGCAACATCATGCTGGACAAACATGGACACCTCATTCACATTGGTTAGTTTACCCCTTGGGACTTCTTTCTTTTTTTCTTTTCTTTCTTTTTTTTTTTGTGGGTTCACCCTTTTAACTGGAGCAGGCGTCGTGCTCGGGGCAGGGCTAGTCAGAGGCGGTATTGGCCAGTTCTCCCAACTAATCAATATTTCTGCTACCGGTTTTCCAGAACCGATCAGAACCAGCTGAATACCATCTCTGGTTCCTTCCCATTTTGTTCCTCTCTTCTTTACAGTGGTGGGATTCAAATTTTTTTTACCATCGGTTCTGTGGCCGTGGCTTGGTGGGCGTGGCAGGGGAAGGATGCTGGAAAAAAACCCTTCCCTCCCCACCCCCACTAACCTACTTTCCAGCTCTGTTCTCCTGTGCAGGACAACCAAAGAAGACCCAGCCGATCAGCTGGGACTCGGGAGGCAGAGAATAGATGGGGACGGGGCCAGTCAGAGGCCGTATTGGCCAGTTCTCCGAACTACTCAAAATTTCCGCTACCGGTTCTGCAGAACCGGTCAGAACCAGCTGAATACCACCTCTGACCATGGGGCAAAAGGTAACTCAACCCACAGAAACCAAGGGGATGTGGGAAGCATTTTAGAAGGGGACCTCCCTCCCTGGGTTTTCTGGAGAGGAAAAGCCAAGGGAGAGAAGAAATACTTTTAGCCTTTCAAGATTCTGGTTATGTAATCTTATGCTAGAGTTACGACTTATAGTTGTGCTTCTCGGCTGGACACCTGGAAGGGTTAACTCCTCCAATCTGTAGGTGTGCTAAAGCCCAGAGTTAGGTGAAACATGATTTTAGATGTTGGTTTACAAACAGACCAGAACCTGCACTTCTCATCTTTGTTACCACAAGCTCACATACTGCCTTTTACGGTTCCACAACACCCAGTGGTGGGATTCAAATTTTTTTTACTACCAATTCTGCAGCTGTGGCTTGGCGGGAGTGGCAGGGGATGGATACTGTAAAATCCTCATTCCCTCCCCACCCCACTAACCTGCTTTCCAGCTCCGTTCTCCTGTGCAGGGCAACCCAAGAAGACCCAGCCAATCAGCTGGGACTCAATGAGAGGCAGAGAATAGATGGGGTTGGCGGGGCCAGTCAGAGGTGGGATTGGCCGGTCCTCCAAGCGACTCAAAATATGTGCTACCGGTTCTCCAGAACTGGTCAGAACCTGCTTAACACCTCCTCTGGTGTGGAACCTTCTTGGGATTGCTACAAGGGTTGTGTTGTACCCAGGAGATAGGTGCAGGGGTGGGATTCTACCATTTTGCACCTATTTGCTAGAACCGGTTGTTAACATTCTAAGCAGTTCGGAGAACCGGTTGTTAGAAGAAATTACTGGCCTAATCCTGTAAGGAAGGCAGGAAGGAAACATTCTGGTGTTGCTTACAGAAACTACTTCTCCGTTAACCCTTATTACATTCTTGGCAGGACTAGACTTCCTGTCTCTGGAACTTCTCTGGAGTTTTTTTCCCCCTCCTTTGCTAGTACTGTGCTTGCGTGGAGTGACCATTCAAAGTTACAATGGCCCTGAAAAAAGGGACTTATGACCATTTTTCACACTTAACGACTGTTGCAGCATCCCCACAGTCACGAGAGGCCAGGCGAGGAGATGCATGCCTCGATGTGAGTGATATTGAGTTGGCCACGCCCAGCCAATAACATGACCACCAAGCCATCTCCACCCAGTCACATGACCGCCAAGCCACGCCTACCCCCTAAGCCACGCCCACAGAACCGGTTGTTAAAATTTTTGAATTCCCACCCCCTGGGCACGCGACGACGAAAAGAGTTAGCCATCACTGATCTCGAGCGCCCAGGTCAATGCCTTCCTCCTCCTTGGCAGATTTTGGATTCATGTTCGAAAGTTCTCCCGGTGGAAACCTGGGTTGGGAGCCCGACATCAAGCTGACGGATGAGATGGTCATGATCATGGGTGGCAAGATGGAAGCCACGCCTTTCAGGTGGTTCATGGAGATGTGCGTCAGGGGCTACCTGGCGGTCAGGTGAGGAGGCTTCCGCTTGGGTTCCCGCCTTGCATTTTTGGCATTCGGCCCTTTTCCCCAAACCCTCTTGCAAGAGACCAATTCAGGCAGTTTTAGGGAAGAAAATCCATACAGGTGATTCCTAGACTTGAAACCACGATTGAGCCGAAAACTTCCATGGCTAAGCAAGACAATTGTTAAGTAGGTTTCTCCCCATTTGAAACCTCTCTTGCCATCGTTGTTGTTTTTTTGATTTTAAAAAACTTTATTAAATACAGAAAATTAAAATACACTTATACAAAAATAAAAAAATACGAAATTATACAATGAAAACATCATACCGCATAGTACAGCCAGTCTTATTTTCCTCAAGTACAGTTTGATAGTAATTTAATTATTCCATCTAGATTATTAAGTGGCCAGTAAAAACACTCAGCTCCATTCAGACTCCACCCCACAAGGGATTACGGAGCCATAACAGATGATGACATCGGTCGCAAGGATGCTTTCAGCGGTCTTAACGCGTGAGTCACTTTGAACGGCCGCTGAAGGAATCGGTTGTAAGTCGAGGGCCACCTGCAGCGATTTGGTTCTGCTGGCCCGAGGCCGTAACCAAAAGACAGCCGAGGTTCAAGAGGAGGAGGAAGCAGGAAGGGAGGCCAAGCATGTCAGAGCAGCAGTCCTACCTCTGAGAAACGATTCTGAATCTTCCTTCCATTGCGCTGCTCACGGAGAAGGATGTTACCGCCACCGTAAAACTCAGGGGAGCTCAGCCCCCACTTTGCCGCAGTAATTTTGTTAGGTTGATTAGATGGGTTGGCACTCGGGCTGCTTCATCGGCAGGCAGGCAGGCAGACGTTTCGCCTGCCTAGATTTAATTATCATAACGAGGTGTGATGGGATCTCAGCATCTGTTGCCTTTCTTCCCCCGACCCCACTTCTTCCTGCTGTTCATTTTCTTCCGGTCGAAATTGAACAGAATTCGGTGTGATCCTGGAAGAAGTACTTAACCCTGTTATCAGTGGGGGATGGAAAGATTCCCCTCGTTGCGATTGTGGTGCTGAGATGCAAAGTATGAGTAGAATAGAATAGAATTAGAATTAGAATTAGAATTAGAATTAGAATTAGAATTAGAA